TTCAACCCCTCCCGGGATACCTTGGCAGTTATCCCCCCATTTGTGTGACGAATTAATAAAGAATGCATGAATTTGAAACAATGACTTTATTGCCTCTGCAAGCGATGATCAAAGGTGGGAGGGGAGGGCGGTTGGCTTACAGGGAAGTAGAGGGAACCAAGGGGGTGAGTTTTCATCAAGGAGAAACAAACAGAACTTTCATACTGTTGCCTGGCCTGTCATGAAACTGGTTTTCAAAGCTTCTCTGTTGCGCAGCGTGCCCTGCTGTGCTCTTCTAACCGCCCTGGTGTCTGGCTGCACGTAATCAGCGGCCAGGCGATTTGCCTCAACCTCCCACCCTGCCATAAACATCTCCCCCCTTACTCTCACAGATATCGTGGAGCACACAGCAGCAGTAATAACAATGGGAATATTGGTTTCGCTGAGGTCTAACCGAGTCAGTAAACTGCGTCAGCGCGCTTTTAAATGTCCAAGAGCAAATTCTACCACCATTCTGGACTTGCTCAGCCTATAGTTGAACTGCTCCTTACTACTGTCCAGGCTTCATGAGCCATGGGAGCAAGGGGTAGGCTGGGGTAGGTGCGACCGCGCAGTTCTGCCAGCTGGGAGAGCAGCCTGAGGCATGATATCCCAGGCAGGACTGAATCTCCATGAGATGAAACTTGAAGAGAATGACCTGGAGTCACTCCCATTTATGTCCAGGCGCCCCTGACTGACCTCACCGAGGTCTGCCAGGAGCACCCATGTCTGCCCAGGTACCCCTGACTGACCTCAACGAGGTCGGCCAGGAGCACCCAGGAGACGACGACAACAGCTAGCAGTCGTACTGCACCGTCTGCTCCCACGAAGGCAAGGAGCTGCTGCTGTGTAGCAATGCAGTACCGTATCTGCCAGCAGCACCCAGAAGACGTATGGTGACGGTGAGCTGAGTGGGCTTCATGCTTGCCGTGGTATGTTGTTTGCATGGGTAACCCAGGAAAAAAGGCGAGAAACGATTGTTTGCCATTGCTTTCACGGAGAGAGGGAGGGAGGGGGGTCTGACAACATGTACCCAAAACCACCCGCGACAATGTTTTTGCCCCATCAGGCACTGGGAGCTCAACCCAGAATTCCAATGGGCGGCAGAGACTGCGGGAACTGTGGGATAGCTACCCACAGTGCAACGCTCCGAAAGTCAATGCTAGCCTCAGTACTGTGGACACACTCTGCCAACTTAACGAGCTTAGTGGGGACACACACAATCGACTGTATAAAATCGATTTCTAAAAAACTGACTTCTATAAAAATCGACCTAACTTTGTAGTGTAGACATACCCTTGGTTGCACTGAGCTAAGGGAACTGATTCTAGATTACATCATTGGAGTCTAGACATATAGGAATTTTACATTGAAATAATTCATATCAAGTGAAAGGAAAATGTAGTGGCTGATGCCTTATTGAGAATGGGGGGACGCTGAGGTGAATTCAGGAGTGTCAGTGTGATCAGTGTCAGTCCACCTACCTGCTAGGGGGCAGTGGGGAGCTACATCATCACTGGCTGGCCTGGGTCACGCCTCCGCCAGCGGGGAATTAGCAGCGGGAAGGCCGCCAGCCAGAGTCTGTAGCGCACCCCTCAGGCAGGGGAGCACTGGCAAAGGTCCCGGCGTGGCTCGGCCGGGTAGGGGAACGCAGGCCCACCCTACACCACTGTGTTCCAGCCCAGGGCCCTGACAGTGGCAGGACAAGGGTCTCGCCACTGGATCAGCGGGGTCCTTCCGCGATACAGACTCACCACTGTGCAGCTCTGTCCCTGGGCTACTTCCTACCCAATTGCTCGTCCGAATCCCTCTGGTTCCACCAGTGCATCAGGGTAGTCCGCTGTTGGCAGCTCCAGCTCCCCCTCAGGCTCAGGCTCCTCCCAGTCCTTGGCTGCTGGCAGCTCCAGCTCCCACTCCAGCTCCTCCAGTTCCTCTGGGTATTCGGCAGCGGGCAGTCCTGGCAGCCCCAGTCCGTCCTCCAGGTGAGGTTTCCACTGGTCCAGGGCCTCCCCTGGCATGGCAGCAGGGTCTGAAGGGAGCAGCCCGCAGTCTGCATCTGCCTCCCTCCCTGGTGCTGCTCTAACTGAGCTAAGGGCCCCGCCCTTTATACTTCCTGTTCCACCCCTCCCCTTCCGGGGGGTGGAGCAAACTTGGGCTGGCCCCACCCACTCAGGCTGAGAGAAAGGCCTTTTACCCTCAGGTTCGGAGGGCAGCCACCCTGGCTCCCTACAGTCAGTAACACCCCTTCCTAAACCAGTTTTGCATTGACAAATGAGGTGCCTTCTCTTGCCAACACTGCAGGCATTAGCTAAGAACTAACAAACTCATAGCTAGAGACCTGACCTTCACCTGTATGTTAGTTTAGCTCAAAGTAGGTATTCATTTTATAAGAATGTTTTTAGTGTTTAGACTCTGTGAAATGCTTGTAAATTGTGGCATGCATTAATCTCACTTGTAATGTTGGTATTCCATGCCATAAGAAATTATGTAAGTTTTGCTTTATAACTTTGAAAATGTTTGCTTTGAATTTGTGAACCCAGCCATGGGAATCATCCTTCCCACCCACCCTGAAGGGCTATCAAAATCAGATGGGCCATGAAGGAACATAGTAATACAAAGGACTGGTTAATGGCCCTATCACACCATGGAAATGCTATGTGCAAGGAAGCTCATCCTGTGGACTCGGAAGCTGAACAAAAACAAACAAAACAAAGTCATGGGAAAATATTCCATCTCTTTGCTGTTTGATCTCTGACTGGGCAAGAGAGACCAAACTAAAGCCAAATATCTCTGGGGTTGCCTCCTGGATCTGCCCTGAAAGACACTTTGAATTGACAGATCACTACAACTCTGGCACTCTTAAGATCTAGATGGTAACTCACTTGTGTGTATATGTTTGCTTGCTTTAACCTGTAAATAACTCCCATTTCTTTTTCCTAGTTAATAAACCTTTAGACAGTTTATTACAGAATTGGCTACAAACGTAGTCTTTGATGTAAGATCTAGAGTACCAACCGGTCAGGGGTAAGTGACTGGTCTCTTGAGACTGGAAGCAACCTGAATATTGCATGATTTTTGATGTGTATGACCATTTATCACTAAGTCCACTTTGTCTGGGTGGCAAGATAGACTGGAGAGTCTAAGGGGATTGTCTGTGACTCCAGAGTAAAACTGATATACTGATCCAGGCACCAAGCCAGTAATGGCTTGGTGAAATGTAGTTATAGACCGCACCACCAGTTTATGCTGTCTGCCCTGCTTTTGACAGTGTGCCCTGAGATAGGCACTCACAGTTGTGAGCCACTCCAGACAGCATGGCAACACTCTTCCCTTTAAATATGGCACTGAGTTGGTTTATAGTAAAAATAAAACAAATTTATTAACAATAGGACATAGATTAAGTGATGCCAAGTAAAAGGAATAAAGTTAGAAAGGGTAACAAGCAACTGAGGGATAAAGGAAGTTAGAAAGGGTAACAAGCCATTGCCACCGTGCAGCACAGAGCACCGGATCAGGCTGGGCTCTGCAGCTGCGCTGCCCCAGGAGCTTGTCGCCCGCCCCCCAGAGCATTGTGCCGGCGGCGGGGCGAGCTGAGGCTGCGGGGGAGGGTGAACAGCGGGGAGGGGCTGGGAGCGAGCCTCCCAGGCCAGGAGCTCAGGGGCTGGGCAGGAGGGTCCCACGGGCCGGATGTGGCCCGTGGGCTGTAGTTTGCCCACCTCTGCTATAATGCCTAATATCTCCCACGTACATACATCACACAAGAATATTAATGATCCATGAGTAATTAGCCTTGAAATAATATCTCACAAAGCATATTTTGTACAAGATTATTACTATAATGTGTAGGACATGAATATAGGGATGTTTAGGGCCACACCTCCCCCCTTACAATGCTGCAGGAGGGTTAGCTAAGTGCTGACCCAGAGGCAGCATATCAAAGCCCACTGGGCTGCAACACCTCAATATGTTTAATTATATCTGAAATGACCATCTTAAGCCCACATATTAAGGGGCACCTTCCACCGTCCTTAACATATATACTTCCCCTCACACTTGCTTCTCACCCATCTGGGTCACCCAGGCCAATAAAGAGTCCTGTCACCTCTGAAGATGTTTACTCACTTCTCTTACTCACTTCTCGTAATCTGCCCTGCTGTCAGTGGAGTGCTGGCCCTCAGCTATTTACCTAGCTGTGCTAGAGTCCCACCACTCATAGCAGATCCTGTGCCACAGCACTGTCTAGCTGTGCCTCAGTTTCCCTCACCCAGACCAGTAAAGAGTGAAACCAGACCTCTTACCAGTCTGAGTCTGCCCTGTTCCCAGCAGAGTTCTGGCCCACAACTACCCTTACCTGTGCCAGTGTCTGTATATGCTCAGCAGTTTTGTGCCACAGCAAGGTCCAGCTGTGCCTCAGTTTCCCTGCTTTCAGTGGAGTTCTGGCCCACAGCTTTCCTAGCTGTGCCGGGGGACACCAGTCTCATATTTTGTACAAAGATTACACACACACTAGTGTGCAGGGTGTGAATACAGGGGTGCTTAGTGTCATATTTACACTGGGAAGTTTCTCACTCAATAGATAAGGGGCTTGCTAAACAAATGTTGTCGTGCCAGAAGTCCAGGCAAGGCCTCTTCTTTTCATGGTTGCAGTAGGCAATAAAAGTCTAGCTTGGCTAGCATGAGAATGAGCAACTGAAGACATAACTTTGATCAGTTAGGGTAAGAAATAAATCTGAATCCTAATAGAACTAGGCTATGGCCTTGCTTCTTTGCAATAGTTTGCCATTTAGCTGAAGACATCTATTATGCAAAAGAATAGAAGCACTTTGTCCTTTTCATCCTCATTGTACTTTGACGGGTCAGTCAGGTTTATTTATAAACCACAGGCTAATTACCTTGCTTCCCGTTTCACTGAACAAAGGTATGTTGCCACCTCTCCTAGCTTCAGCAAGACTTCTCATAAGGACAAGACGTTCTAACTAAAAATGGCTGAGGAGGAAAGTAAGAGCTTCTCTGTTGAGCTGAGTGAGAAAGGAGGTATAGAAAACAAAGGATTTGTTCAAAATGAGGCACTTAATGAAAAGGAATGCAATGCCAGCAGCCAAGAGGAGATACCAGAAACATGCGCTGTTGGCATCAACTCAGCAGCTGTGCAGAACCAGGACTGTGAAGTTTTGAAGCCCTTTGCAGGAATGCCTAAGGAAGTCTTGCTTAAATTCTCAAGTCAGGCACGGTACAGAGTCACCAGAGAGATCCTCTTCTGGCTCATAATTGCATCTACACCAGTGCTTGTAGGTGCTACAATTGCAATTGTTGCCGTGTCGCCAAAGTGCCTGGGCTGGTGGCAAGCTAGTCCCATTTATCAGATCTACCCACGTTCATTTAAGGACACCAACAAGGATGGGAATGGTGATCTGAAAGGTAGGTGCTCTACATTTTTGTGATGTTCAGTCCTTGGTAGCATGAAGCTGTATGTATTATATATATTTCTGTTTCCACAATCTCTCATTCCCTAAAAAGTGTATTAACAGTAGAGGCAGCCACCTGATTAGAGACAGATGGGATCACAAGTTAGCTAATAACCCACAGGCAGCCAGAACTGTGATTATCATTAACCATCTAATCAGGAAGGGCTCAAGCTGCAGAGTCTAAACCTTTATCAAAGTTAAAACCTCCCCAAAGTATGCCACTGTTCAGAGCTGGAGTTTTGATTTGGCCCATCAGAGAGAAAAAGAGAGAGAATAGCTGCAAAATTGTAATCCAGATGAGAATTTCCCACCAAAATTTGGGGAGTATTTGGAATCCAATGTGTTATTAGACAATCAGTTAATTGCCATTTTGGATTTTGCTCCATAAAAAATCTGAGGGGGAAAGAAACTATTAGCAAATGAAAGAGGAAGAAATGCGATTTTTGAGCCTTTAGGGAGACTCAATACAAATGTATCTGATACACTACATAGATGATGCCAAATATTAAGAACTCAGTTGACTCACAGATTTTACTACAAAAAATGGATAGGAAAAGACAAAAAAATAAAATATATATACAAAAGGTACTAGAACATCATATCTTCTATCAGGAAGTGAAGAACAGTGTGTTTCTATAGGTGGATAATCAGTGGTGGGCTGGAGCCGGTTCCCACCGGTTCGCAAGAACTGGTTGTTAAATTTAGAAGCCGGTGTAGAACCGGCTGTTAAAGGGGAGAGCCGGTGCACCATACCGGGGCGGCCCGGCTTCCCCAGGGGGCAATTTAAAGGGCCTGGGGCTCCCAGTAGGGGCTGGAGTCCTAGGCCCTTTAAATTGCCACCAGAGCCCCACTGCTGGAGCCCTGGGTAGGGCTGTGGAGCTCTGGGGGCTATTTAAAAAGTCCGGGGCTCCAGCTGCCTCTGCCACCCCGTCCTTTAAATAGCCGCTGGAACCCTTCCGCTTCCCCAGGGCTCCGGCGATATTTAAAGGACCGGGGTGGTAGAAGCAGGGGAGCCCCGGCCCTTTAAATAGCCCCCAGAGCCCTGGGGTAGCGGGAGGCTCCGGATGCCTCTGCCGCCCTGGTCCTTTAAATAGCCACCGGAGCCCCGGGCTGCTGCTGCTACCCCGGTGGCGGAGGGGGGAGGAGAAACTTGCGGGTTCTGAGGGGGGCAGTCGGGGGCAGGACGTGGGTTGGGGTCGGATAGATGGTGGTGGTGGTGGTGGGGAGACAGGCACGTGGGGCTTGTACTCACTGTGCGGTTCCCTACCGGGTCTTCCGCGGCACTTCAGCGGCGGGTCCTTCACTTGCTCCCGGTGAAGGACCTGCCGCCAAAAACCCGGAGTGAGTGGACCCGGTAGGGAACCAGTTCTTAGGATTTTGGGAGCTCATCACTGTGGATAATATTTGTGACATGCCATGAACATATATTAGTTTTGATTTCAGAGGAGGGAGACTAGCATGATTTAGGGACTGGAGAGAGCATTAGAGTGAGTGGTAGAGAAAAAGTACAGGTTAAAAGAAGAAGTGGGGTTTTTACCCACAAAAGCTTATGCCCTAATAAATCTGCTAGTCTTTAAGGTGCCACTGGACTCCTCGTTGTTTTTGTGGATACAGACTAACATGGCTATCTCTCTGATAATAGGTTAAAAGAGAATGTCTTCTATCTAACTGGAGGTGAAGCCTAGGGCTTTTTCATTTAAATCACACTTACCTGCTTCTCAGGGTGGTTGTGAGGGGTTAACTCACATTCCTTGACAACGAAAATAGATAATTCAAACATTTTATTAGAATTCTTTAATCTCAATTTTCCAAAATTGAATGTTACATTTAATGAATGAAAGAATAAAAGCTGTAAGCCAGAGTGTAAATGCTGCTTGAATTAGCATCTTTGTTCTGTTTTTCATGATTAATCTTTTTCAGTTGCTTATTATAGAATAAAGACCTTCAGTTGCCCTCAGCCTTTTAACATACTGTGATCCAATATGGCAACACAAAAGTTTTAGGATTCTGCTACCTCTAGCCATAATGAAAGGGAAAGAGATCTCCGCCCATGGACCTGTGTACATCTTCCAGATGGGGGAAACTTAATTTCAACAGAAATGACAACTTTGCCACAGACACATTGTTTTTGTCCTCGCAAAACAGACTTTTTTCTTTATTTACAGGTATCCAAGAAAAACTGGATCATATCATGTATTTAAATATAAAAACGATCTGGATTACTTCTGTTTATAAATCACCCTTAAAAGACTTTGGGTATGCAGTTGAAGACTTCCGGGATGTTGATCCTATGTTTGGAACGATGAGGGATTTCGAAAACCTGATTGCAGCTATACATGATAAAGGTAAACTTGAGCTATGACCAAAAAAAAAAAAAAAATGCACTGCTCACACATGGAATGTAGATGTACTTTTCTTTTTTTACTTCACATTTTGTTGTTTTGTGTTTCAATTTGTGTGTCTTCCATGGGCAGAGGGGTTCAGAACCTAGCAGATTGAATGGGGATTCTGAATAGGGTTACCAACTTTCTAATGGCAGAAAACCAGACACCCTTGCCCCTCGTCCTCTCCCACCACTTTCCTGAGGCTCTGCCCCTGTCTTGAGGCCCCGCCCTCCATTCCCTCCATCCCCCCTCCCTCCGTCGCTTGCTCTCCCCAGTCCTCACTCACAGGGGCTTGGGGTGCAGGAGGGGGTGAGGGCTCTGTCTGGGGTTGCTGGTTCCAGGGTGGGGCCAGAAATGAGGGGTTTGGGGTACAGGAGGGGGCTCAGGGCTGGAGCAGGGGTTGGGGATGCAGGGTGCAGGCTCTGGGAGGGAGTTTGGATGTGGGAGGAGGCTCAGGGCTGGGGCAGGGGGTTGGAGTGCAGGAGGGGGCTCCAGGCTTGGGCAGAGGGTTAGGGTGCTGGAGAGAGTGCGGGCTCCGGGAGGGAGTTTGGGTGTGGGGGGGGGGGTGGGGGGTATGAGGGTGAGGAGTGTGGGCTCTGGGTGGGGCTTACCTTCCGGGAAGGCTGGCATGTCCTCTGGCTCTGCGTGCCAATCCTGCATGCAGGTGCCACCCCCCGCACGTAGGTGCTGCCCCCGCAGCTCCCATTGGCTGGAAACCACAGCCAATGGGAGCTGTGGAGCCGGCGCTTGAGCCGGGGGCAGCACATGGAGACTCTGTGGCCACCCCTATGCCTAGGAGCTGGAGGGACATGTCACTGCTTCCGGGAGCCGCATGAAGCCAGGTAGGGAGCCTGCCTAAACCACCAACTGGACTTTTAGCGGCCCAGTCAGCGGTACTGATTGGAGACACCAGGGTCCCTTTTCAACCGGTTCTTCCGGTCAAAAACTGGTCACCTGGCAAGCCTAGTTCTGAAGGGATGAGTACTGACTGCAGCATTGCAACCCTTTCTATCAATCTTGCAGAAGCCTCTCCATTGGGGCTTCATGGAACTTGGCCTATGCAACATTGATGGGAGCTAGGCATGGGAGAGGAAAGCCAGTACTGTAGCATATGGACTCTGTAGAGCCTCTAAAATCCACACGGCTCTCAGGATGGCTACTGGTGTTTTGGGATGAAACTCCTTTCACATTCTATGTTGGGGGACAGGCCCTGTTCTCTTTTTGACAGGTTGTATTTATTAGTCCCTGCAGCAGTCTTCTGATGACTGAAGCCTGAGATGCTGTCACTTCTATCTTTGCATCCATAAGCAATAATGTTCTTGCTGGAGGTAGAAAATTAAATTAAATTAAGAAGATTGGGAAAACTTGGGTTCTTTCACTATCGTGACCTCCTTTGTCTGTCTGTTTAGACCCCAGTCCCACAAACATTTATACAAGCACTTAACTTCATACAGGTGAGTAGTCCCATTGACTACAAAGGGACTGCTCATGTGCGCTAAGTTAAAGAGATACATAAGTGACTGTAGGATGGGGCCTGAGTGTTTGTCTACACTCTAAAGGGTTTCGCTAGTATAGGTTATACCAGTTCCCCAAATTAAATGACCTACACTGAAAAAAGGACTTTTTGCATAACATTTTGGTATAATAGCATCTAAACTCGGACTTTTGCTGACACAGCTATGTTGATCAGTGGTGTGAATCTTCCACTCCCCCTCTTAACTGACAGCTATGCTGGCAAAACTTTTCCGTGTAGACCAGGGCTTAGACTCTAAGCCCATTGAGGACAGAGGCTTCTCTTAACTGTATGTCTGTAAAGCCACCAGTGTTATTTTGTCTTCTATGTTAATACTGTAAATTTTGTGACTTGGGATGTTTTGTTTTGATTTAATCTTTCCCACATTTGATTTGTAAGGTTTAAAGGTGATAATGGATTTAATACCAAACCACACAAGTGACAAACACAGTTGGTTTCAGCTGAGTCGCAATCGGACTGGGAAGTTTGTGGATTACTACATCTGGCATGACTGTGCACACACTGATGGGACAATCACTCCTCCCAACAACTGGGTAAATACAAGGTTTAGGGTCACCTTCAAATCACAAAATGAATAGGAAAATCACAGCAATGTAGTGAATATGAAACCATTGTGTGGTGGCTGCTGTACACAGCATGTAAACTCAAATCTTTTGTTTCATTAGTAACTTCTGCTCGTATATTTGAGTTAATCTGAACAACATGAATTAGGATACAAGAATAAGACAGTGAGGCAGCATTGCTTTTCTTTGATTTCATTTGGTTTTAATCTGTTTTGATTTCCATTCCTCTCCTTTAATTTTGTATCTAACACATTTTGGTATATGGTAGAGCTGTCAATTAATCGCACTTAACTCAAGCGATTAACGCAAAACAAATTAACTAGATTTTTAAAATCGCAGTTTTAATCACTGGAATACCAATTTAAATTTATGATAAATTTTTGGATGTTTCTCTACATTTTCAAATATATTGATTCCAATTACAACACAGAATACAAAGTGTACAGTGCTCAATTTATATTATTATTTTGATTAAATACTTGCACTTTAAAAAATGGTATTTTTCAATCACCTCATACAAGTACTGTAGTGCAATCTTTATCGTGAAAGTGCAACTTACAAATGTAGAATTATTTTTTTCCACATAACTGCACTCAAAAACAAAACAATGTAAAACTTTAGAGCCTACAAGTCTACTCAGTCCTACTTCTTGTTCAGCCAATCGCTAAGACAAACAAATTTGTTTACATTTATGGGAGATAATGCTTATTTCCAATGTCATCTGAAAGTGAGAACAGGCATTCACATGGCACTGTTGTAGCCAGCGTCACAAGGTATTTACGTGCCAGATATGCTAAACATTTGTATGCCCCTTCATGCTTCAATTTATCTTTTTTACAGTGCAAATATTTGTATTAAAAATAATAATATAAAGTGAGCACTTTAAATCTTGTATTCTGTGTTGTAAATGAAATCTATATATTTGACTATGTAGAAAATATTTATCATAAATTTAAATTGGTATTCTATTATTGTTTAACAGTGCGATTAGAACTACAATTAATCATGACTTTTTTAAATCTCATGATTAATCGTGATTATTTCTTTTAATCATTTGACAGCCCTAGTATATGGGCATTCCATTTGGGGAGCTTCTTACCAGCTGTCCTTTATTCATGCCAACTGTGATGTCAGAAAAACAAACCAGCACATTGTTGGATTATTGCTTTCCTTTCCTAGCCTTCCTAGCAGGCCAAGATACTGGAAATTGGCTTATCTACTTATTTTCCATATTTTAATGGGAAATCCAACCATTTACTATATGCATCTTCTAAACACATGATCTAGAAACCAACAAATTAACATATTTGGCCATAATTATTTTTAACTTAACAACACAGCAACAGTTTTGAGAAATATCTTGAATATTGTCTCAGATCTAACCCACATACAGCTGATGACTTTATTATTCTCAAATATTCACTGTTGCTGATATTTCAATAGAGGCTGTTATGTCAGTTGAGGCTTTGTAGAAACAAGTTTCACAAATTATATGTCCAATAGAAATGCTCCCATAAAATTAAAGAAAATTCTCAATGAAAACCTGCTTTTAAAAAACATGAATCCTTTCCCTGAGCATTTATAACACAGACATACCAGCATTATACTGGTTTGTGAGAACTGAAAATGAAATTGACTGTAAAGAAAAAGTGAAACTGACTAGTTTATTTTCATTGTCTAACCTGAGAGAAATGCAAAAAGTAAACAATAAACATAGTTATTTAAAATCCAGTTTACTTTTCACAATTATTTTCAGTGTTTATTTTCTAAGTTGTTACTAGTAACAGCAATGTAACAGCTGCTTGTTAGCAACAATAATAATAAATAAAGCTATTTTTTAAAAAGGTATGAAGTTTAACTGTACAGTCTCCCTTTAAAACTTAGTGCCAGAAAAAAGGCTTACCATTTCTCTCCATATCTTTTTCTCACAGACTAACAGGAAAGAAAGTCCAGATCAACATATTGCAAGCTCATCATGTATTTTATAGGTCTGTCAATTAATTGCAGTTAACTCACGTGATTAAGTAAAAAAAAATTAATTGTGATTAAAAAAATTAATTATGATTAATTGCAACTTTAATTGCACTGTTAAACAATAGAATACCAATTGAAATTTATCAAATATTTTGGATGTTTTTCTACATTTGCATATATATATTGTATTCTGTGTTGAAATCAATGTGTATATTATTATTATTACAAATATTTACACTGTAAAAATTATAAAACAAAATAAATAGTATTTTTTCAATTCACGTCATACAAGTACTTTAGTGCAATCTCTTTGTCATTAAAATATAACTTACAAATGTAGATTTTTTTTGTTACATAACTGCACTCAAAAACAAAACAATGTAAAACTTTAGAGAATACAAGTCCACTCAGTCCTACTTCTTGTTCAGCCAGTCGCTAAGACAAACAAGTTTGTTTACATTTACAGGAGATACTGCTGCCCTTTTCTTATTTACAGTGTCACCAGAAAGTGAGAACAGGCATTTACATGGTGCTTTTGTAGCTGGCATTGCAAGATATCTACATGCCAGATATGCTAAACATTCGTATGCCCCTTCATGCTTCGGCCACCATTCCAGTGGACATGCTTCAATGCTGATGATGCTTGTTAAAAAAATAATGTGTTAATTAAATTTGTGACTGAACTCTTTGGGGGAGAATTGTACGTCCTCTGCTCTGTTTACCCGCATTCTGCCATATATTTCATGTTATAGCAGGCTCGGATGATGACCCAGCACATGTTGTTCATTTTAAGAACACTTTCACTGCAGATTTCATAAAACGCAAAGAAGGTACCAATGTGTGAGATTTCTAAAGATAGCACAGCACTTGACCCAAGTCTAAGAATCTGAAGTGCCTTCCAAAATCTAAGAGGGACGACGTGTGGAGCATGCTTTCAGAAGTCTTAAAAGAGCAACACTCCGATGCAGCAACTACAGAACCCGAACCACCAAAAATGAAAATCAACCTTCTGCTGGAGGCACCTGACTCAGATAATGAAAATGAACATGCGTCGGTCTGCACTGCTTTGGATTGTTATCGAGCAGAACGCGTCATCAGCATGGACGCATGTCCCCTTGAATGGTGGTTGAAGCATGAAGGGACATATGAATCTTTAGTGCATCTGGCACATAAATATCTTGCGACGCCAGCTACAACAGTGCCATGAGAATGCCTGTTCTCACTTTCAGGTGACATTGTAAACAAGAAGCAGGCAGCATTATCTATTGCAAATGTAAACAAACTTGTTTGTCTGAGTGATTGGCTGAACAAGAAGTCAGACTGAGTGGACTTGCAGGCTCTGATGTTTTTCATTGTCTTGTTTTTGAGTGCAGTTATGGAATAAAAAAAATCTACATTTGTAAGTTGCACTTTCACGACAGAGACTGCACTATAGTACTTGTATGAGGTAAATTGAAAAATACTATTTCTTTTGTTTTTTTACAGTACAAATACTTGTAATAAAAATTAATATAAAGTGAGCACTGTACACTTTGTATTCTGTGTTGTAACTGAAATCAATATATTTGAAAATGTACAAAACATCCACAAATATTTAAATAAATGTACTCTATAATTGTTTAACAAAGTGATTAATCACGATTCATTGTTTTAATTGCCTGACAGCCCTAGTATTTTATTAATAGTCCTTTTAATTACTGTTGAAATTCTTAGAAGAACCTATATTGCTTGTACAAAATATACTAGGCTTGGGAAATCATTAAGCAGATTTTATGCTGTTTGGTGAGCAATTTCGGAATTTGAGCAAATAAATATTTATATAATATGAGATTGACCAAGCACAAATAGGTCTATTAAAGGTGATAAATACCAGGGCATAGGCAGAAGTGTACTAGGGTAGATGATTTGCATATGAAGGATCATATATAGCAGCTGGTTATGTCTTTGCAGGTTAAATAAGTTTGTAGTAGTAGTAGTAGGTGAAATATATGGAAATTGGTTTTTAGTTGTGGATGAGATTTATACTTGTATGTAAATATGAATTTATTAGGTTAATATTAAGGAATGTTAATGTTAAGGAAAAACATATCTCATTTAAATGAGGGTATTTTCTGTTTACGTTTATTAATGAAAAAATAAAAAGTTAAAAATAGAGTAGGCTGAGTAATATTAAATTCCGTTTTTTAGTCATCGTGATTTGAAGATGCACTGAGTACATGCAGCTCCCATTGACTTCAATGTTTTTCATGTAACATCCATATATGTTCAGTAAATTGGATTTTAAATAGTTATATTGCATATTTACTTTTGCATTTCTCTCCTTTGGACAATGAAAATAGACTAATCAGTTTCAGGCCAACTAACTGTTATGGATAGTAAATGAATACTATTTACTAAGTGATGCATGCCTTTCTATATGCTTGTAACGCACTGTGTAAATTACAATGCTGTGCAAATGCTCATCATTTATTAAGTAATTAATAATCATCATTTTCTTATGTGATCAGGTGAGTGTTTATGGGAATTCCAGTTGGCAATATGATGAGGTGAGAAAGCAATGTTATTTTCACCAGTTTGGGAAAGAACAACCAGATTTAAACTTCCGCAACTCCGCTGTGCTAGAAGAAATCTATGTAAGTATATAATCCACGGCTGCTACTCCAGTAGTAAAGAAACTGTTGGGTTTTATGTTTGTTTTAATTTTTAGAATGTAATTTCTTTATATAGTTGACAATCCAGTGGGAAATAATTCAAGGATTAGTGTCTATGCAAACAATGCAGACAATGAAGTGTCAACACAAATATACCTGCTTAGGCAAAATGTAAACCATATATTATAATGCTTCAAGTATCATAGTCTTATCTTTGAAGAGTCTCCTTCTAATTAAAAAAAAAGAGGCAGCCTCCCACTGAAAGAGTCACATACATTGCAGTACCACAGCCTGCAGTGTGCAATGTTCTGACCATTATTGTATTATACTTTTAAAAGGATTAATCATATAATATCTAGGATCTAGTTTCTATGTGTGAGGCTTACACAAATGTACACCTCTCCCTGGCTGCTCAGAGCAGACTGCACTCATCTCCTGACTCCTAAGATACAGGACCTACCATGTATTTCTTATAATTGTCTTAACCCAGCAGCAAAAAAGTATCTGCCTCCTTCTGCCCTGGGACTTCTCTACCTGGGTCTCAGCAGCACCATTTCCCTAAAACCCCCTCCTGCTGCCCCAGGACCTTCTCTCTGCTATAGGGCCCTATGTGAAGGGAGTGCTCAGTGGCAGGGCAGGTCTGTGTCTTTAGCCCTGAAGCTCTTGCACAGAGCTATGCCAAGCCCTGAAAATCTTGGGATCGGAGAAGTGTCTCACTTCACTGTGACAGCTCTTCCTGAAGCTTTCAAAATATCATGCTTGTGAAGGGTTCACACAAGAGATCATTGCCTTCCCCAGCTGCTCAGAGGGAACTCCCCTTACCCACACCCCACAGGTGGGGGAGCTCCCACTTTATCCTCTCCATCTCCCACCCCATCATTGTCCTCTGCACCCCATTCACCTGCAACCCCCAAATCTGTCTCCTGCTCCCCCCAGTGCCCTGCTCCTCCTCACTCCCTCCTTCACTTCTCAGTGTCTGGGCTGCTCTCAACAGTCTATGTGGCCCGCCTTGCCCCCTGAATCAAAGAGTGGCAGGCATTTTGCCTTTGGGCCTGGCTTTAACCTCATTGAAAATAGTGGGAGGTGGCAGCCAACTTTATTAAGAGCAGCCTGACTTCCAGGCGCAGTTAAAGTATAGGAAAATGGCAGCCATCTTGCTGGCTTCAGCTCCACTGACAATAATAGGAGAAGGTGCCATTTTGAATAAGGAAAAATTCATGAGTTGGCACCTGTCATTGTGTATTCATGAATAGTTAAAAGAATATAGCCGCAAATCGTTAGAGGGGTGCTCAAATCATGAGAGTTGGCAATACTGCGCATCCTAGAGTGTCTGCAGAAAAAAACTCTGGACTAGAACAGTCTGATACATTTCAGAAGTGCTGCTGAGCATCACTAGTTCTGTCAGTATTTTAAGGAACAAGAAAACCGTAGGTTCGTGTTTTAAAATGAAGCTCTACTTCGAAAGGCTGGTGCTTTGGGACTTAATAGGAGACCAGGGCTACTCTGTGACAGAGTCTGAAATCTTTTACATTCTGTGAGGATAAACCAAACAGGGGAAGCTGGAACAGTCAAGCTTTACCAACACCCTGCCAATGTGCCACAACCAACCTCTGTGTATAAAGGTAGTTCAGTCTCCATGGCCCAAACAATCCTCGGTGTTTTTGTGCTGGTTCTAATTGAGAGGTTTTTACAATATACACAACTGCTCAGATGAGACCTCTTTCAGTGCATGAAATCACCATAGAGGCTGTTGACATGGATACCTGTAGTTGTTTTCAGAATTACTGTAAAGGGACAAGCAATTCAATAAAATGGAGTATGTATTGACCTAATAAAATCAGTGAATCTTTAACATGGACTAGTTGAATTCCATCATATTTTTGATCGAAGTCCTGGCTTGTGCAAGTATATTGTATATGTAATAATAATAAATGACAGCACTGTGCGCATAATCTATTTTTACTACTTAGTTGAGAGATATTGTCTGGCACATAGTAACATTTACACAAATTGCTGCAGGGGGATTAAACTTTGGACTCATCTGTTAAAATTTAGGACCATTAAAATTATAGTAATAAAATAACCATGCAAGCATGATGTACTTTTACTGATAATAGCTAAACTCTGAATTTGATAAAGAAACCACAGATCCATAACCCTTAACTTAGGTAATCATTTTTCATTTTCCAGAAAATAAATCTGAACTATTTTCACATCAGTTAAATAAGAGAGAACAGATTTAGTTGTTGTGTAAAAGAAAACCCGGTGTCAAAAGGTCTGTGCAGAACAATGAACATTTGTATCAATATGTTCTAATTGTCTGCAGGCTTGATGAGTGTACATCAACCATAGAGCTTAGCAGAATCAGCTTTCTTTACACTCTGTTCCTCTTGATTAGGTATTTACAAACTGCTATAAGGCACAGATTCTTTGATAGACTAGATCAAAAGTGGCTTCCTGTGAGGTATGGGGTTTTTCTGTCCCCTGTCCCCCTTGAATTCTTGGGGAAGTCACAGCTGTATGTCTATTATGGTTGAAAAATAATTCAAATATTTCCTTTTTAGTAAGACAAAGTCAGCCATAGATAGTAGCTTCAATCTAAAATGGTCAGCTTTAACCTTACTAAAACTTTAAATTTAAAAACTATGTATTGTTATATAATGTTATATTATATAGTGTTATATTAGTATGTATTATGTAGTTAATAAATTATGTGCAATGTATATGATTTAAATTAATATTTGGAAAGTGGTTGACTCATCAAGAATTATCTTCATTTTATGTTTAGGATATTATCAAATTTTGGCTTGGCAAAGGCATTGATGGGTTTAGTATCAACGCTGTTAAATTTCTTCTTGAAGCAACACACCTGAGAAATGAACCTCAAGTGAATAAATCCCAAAATCCGGTAACACATTTTCTGTTTTGAATTTGTTTGCTCCTTATTGTCTTTGGAGATGCATTTATCACTAATACATTTTCCCTTTGAATTGCTAATGGGACTCACTCTTTTTTTTTCTGGTAGGTTTTGCATTGACAATAAATTACAGTGAAATGTGTACAGATGAGCTTCAGAAGTATATGACTAATTATTTATGGAACTTGCTTTTAGTGGGGCTGTGGGCCCAATAAAGTCAGGAGATGATGCCAACACTGAGAGGCAATAACATTACTGAGTTGACAGAAAGATGTGCATCTTGTTGACTTTGCAAGTCACTACAAGAATCTCATTTATATTGCTTCTGCCTGGAATCTGGTATTCAGCAGCATCTACTGCATGTGTCATGATCACTGGTGTAAACTGGGTTATATAGATTATTCCTCATTTAGATTGATGTGTTCCCCAAATATTTAGCTCCTAGTCTAGCACAGCATTAGATAAATAACTAATGAAGATGCAGCTCCAAAACTCTGCCATTGATGTATTATTTAAATGATTCACTATTTCAGATAGATATTTGGAAATAACTGTATTCCCCATAGGGCTACAATACTTGCTATCTTTCTCACAATGAGCGGTATCTTATTTTGTGAGTAGTCCCACTGAAATCCTCAGGGAGCAAAAACATGAGTAAAGGTGGCAGAATCAGGGCCTCATTCATCAAAGTCCGTTTCTAGGGAGTAGGGGCTTGGGGCAGTGAGTGGTGCAATCCCTCTCCCCTCTGCAGTCAAGCCAGCTTCAGGGCATGGGAAAGGAAATGCCAGGAGTCTGGGCTACCTTGTATCTTCTTTGCAGCACTATAGTCTCAGGTGAAGAGGAAACAAGAGTAGGTAATATCATCATGCCCCCAGTTTGCTAACAGACACAAGTAAAACATTATCTAAAGTGGTGCACTGTCTTTTGAAAAACTTTGGAAAGTGTAATTCAATGAACAATAGAAGGTCTAATGCAAAATGTTGCATTATTCTTCAAGGAGAGTATCTCAGCATATTCTGAGCTGTATCATGACTACACCACCACCCAAGTCGGCATGCATGATATCGTCCGCAGTTTCCGGCACACCCTGGATAAATTCAGCATTGAGCCTGGCCGATACAGGTAACTCAGTTTGTTAGCATAGCCGTATTGAATTTTCCCTCTAATGCTAAAGGCACAATCTCACCAGTGGATAAACAGGTTTGTCATGTTAAGATGCTTTTGCAAGAATACCAGCCATTAATAGTGACATATAGGTATGTGATATATAGAAAGAAAAATAAATTCTTTTTAAAAACAATGCTAAATTATTAGCTATGTCAAGGTCCATTCTAATTCCTTGCAATTCTGATAAAACTCTGAATGAACACAGTTTCCATTTTCTTTTTTAAAAGAACCCACTTGTGTGCTCCTTTGTAGGTTTATGGGAACTGAAGCCAATAACCAGGAAAACATCGAAGCAACAATGATGTATTATGGAACATCTTTTATCCAAGAATCAGATTTCCCCTTCAACTTCTACCTAATTAACATGGAAAACCTCTCAGGAAATAGTATTTTTGAAACTGTATCTTTGTGGATGAAGAATATGCCCAAAGGAAAATGGCCAAACTGGGCGGTAAGAGTTCAGACATTTAAATGTCATGTTCCTGCTCCTATTACAGCCCACAGCAAAGCTCTCATTGGAGTAAGATCAAGCCCAAAATAACCGTAGCTGTTGTATCTGTGGAATCTACCATGTTCTCTCAGTACACTATAGCAATGGCTGTAGCGGGTCCATGTTATCCATCCTAAGCATATTTACAGGAGTGTGATAGTATTTTTGCCTAGTTTTAAACATAATCATCAGGCACATTGTTTTATTCTTTCAAGATAATATTCCACTCCCCTTTCCCTGGCCAAACAGGGTTTGTGCCAGGAATGATGTGGGGTTTGGGAAAGGCGACAGAATCCACCTCCAAACCCTCAGGCAAATTTGAAACAGCTCCAGACTGCTTCCATGTCAGCTGCTGCAGCTCTGGGACTGGAATAGAGGCTCTGACCCTATGCACCTTCTACCTAAGGGATTGTGGCCTCTGACTCTACCTGTGCATAAAGTGGCTCCATCCCTGCCTCTCTTTTCCCCCATGTTGGCCTGTGGTGCAAGCCAAGCTGCCCAAGTATGCCTGCTCCTTGGACGTCTACCTCCAGTGCAGTGGAATCACCATAATCCCAAAGTGCTGAGGGGCTTCCATTGCTCCTGTCAGGGTTCCTTCCCCACTCTGAACTCTAGGGTACAGATGTGGGGACCCACATGAAAGCCCCCTAAGCTTATTTACCAGCTTAGGTTAAAACCTGGTACTCTGCCACCACCAAGTGATTTAACAAGAAACGGAAAGGACCACTTGGAGTTCTTCTTCTCCCAAAATATCCCCCAAGCTCTTACACCCCCTTTCCTGGGGAGGCTTGAGAATAATATCCTAACCAATTGGTTACAAAGTGATCAAAGACCCAAACCCCTGGATCTTTGGACAATGGAAAAATCAGTCACGTTCTTAAAAGAAGGATTTTATTAAAAAGAAAAGGTAAAAATCATCTCTGTAAAATCAGGATGGAAAATAACTTTACAGGGTAATCAGATTCAAAGAGCCCAGAGGAACCCCCTCTAGCCTTAGTTTCAAAGTTACAGCAAAACAGGGATAACCCTCCCTCTAGCAAAGGAATATTCACAAGTTGAGAAAAACAAAGATAAACTAATACGCCTTGCCTGGCTATTACTTACAAGTTTGAAATATGAGAGACTTGTTCAGAAAGATTTGGAGAACATGGATTGATGTCCGGTCCCTCTTAGTCCCAAGAGCGAACAACCCCCAAAACAAAGAGCACAAACAAAAGCCTCCCCCCCCCCAAGATTTGAAAGTATCTTGTCCCCTTATTGGTCCTTTGGGTCAGGTGTCAGCCAGGTTACCTGAGCTTCTTAACCCTTTAAAGGTAAAAGGATTTTGGTGTCTCTGGCCAGGAGGGATTTTATAGTATTGTACACAGGAGGGTTGTTACCCTTCCCTTTATAGTTATGACAGCTCCTATTATAATGGATGAATGCTACCCTCACAAAACCAGCACTACACAGCAGAAAAAATAAGTGTGGTCAGCAAAGCAAACATTGGCAGAAAGACATGAGAACTGTAACTGAGGGTGTTTGTGTTAGAATGGAAGACACTGTTGGCTGGGATGCTAATATATCAGCATTGTTTACTTCTGTCTGTCATGCTGTTGGCAGTATTTCCAGATTTCAGTTGTCAGGCAGAAAATTGTACTGATACAAAAATACTCAAATATTTCCCCTTGAGGATATGGAAATGAAAGAAAAAAGCCAAACGTAATAGTTTGCATCATAGGATTTAATGTAGAAAACCTTTGAAAATATAAGAAAAAAGATAATATAAAATGGATGTGATGATCAAAGGATGCCTTAATATATCAATGCATCCTGAGATTTATACTTAACATTTTGTTACATTAAAAAAACCCCACCTCTTTTACTTAATATGATAAGATCTCACTCTGCATTCAGTGATAATGGAATAGATTTGCTACCATTATACTGTACAGAGCAACATCTCTTGGGGGAGGGGGCGGGAGGGAAGCAATAGTAAAACAGTTATGCTACTGTGCACTCTTATCATAAAGCATGTAAGTGCTTGGACAATACAATAGAAATATATGTGAAACTTTTCCTCTGGGGCTACTATACATCACTTCACAAGGGAACAGAGCCAGATTTTCGTTACTCACACCTCTATAAATGCAGAGGAATTCCACTAGTTTAAATGAAGTTACTTCATGTTTACATTGATGTAAATGAACAGAACTTGTATTAGACCAGTGGTTCCCAAACTTTAACAGCCCGCGAACCCCTTTCTCTAAATTGTGAAATCTCGTGAACCCCCTTCTAAAAATGAATATTTCCAGGATTTTAAATTTAAATTTCCTCAGTGTGATGGATGCGCTTGCTTTGCTCTGCATAGCTCTTTGAAGTCCGGAACCTTTGGAGAAAGATAAAGTCTCAGGTCTGGTTCGGCATCAAGTCTGTTTCTGTATTTCGTTTTCAGATGTGCATACGAGGAAAACGCTTTCTCGCATAAGTATGTTGTTGAAAATGGTAACAAAACTGCAGCAGCTTTTTCTGCCAGAAGGGGATACTCGTTTCTTAAACTCAGCCAAAAGTTGATCAATGACAGATTTCTGAAACTCCTTCTCAGTTCGTAATCACAGGAGATCTCAATCAATTTCTCTTTTTCCTCAGTGTTCAATATCTGTGTTGAGAAAGTGGTATCATCAAAAGGGTTGCGAATCCAGTCATTATCGCCTGATATAGCTGGAAAGTAATCCCTGAATGTTGTGCAAAGTCCTTTTAGGTGTGCAGTTATATTGATTTTAGTGCACTGATCCAACTGAAGTTTATGTTCTGCCAGGAAGTCATGAAGATTACTGAAACACTCAGTTTGATTGTTTTCCAAACAACTTTCCCAGAACTGCAACTTCTTTATCATGGATTCAACTCGGTCTTGCACATTGAAAACTGTTATATTGAGACCTTGAAGAGATAAATTTAGGTCATTAATTCTTGAGAAAATATCTGCTAAATAAGCTAGGCTCTGGAGCCAGACATTATTTTCCATACAGCTGGCAAGGTGGAAAGGGTGGCTGTTGAAAAAAACTAGGATTTCCATTCTAAGCTCAAACAAGCGCACCAGGATTTTGCCCCGTGAGAGCCATCTAACTTCAGTGTGGGTCAACAGACAATCGTGTATACTACCCATTTCTTCACAAAGTACGTGAAATATTCTGGAATTTGTTGGCCGTGATTTTATGAAATTCACCATTTTCACTGCATTGTCCAGCACTTCCTTCAGTCCCTCAGGCATGCGTTTTGTTGCGAGGGCTTGTCTATGGATGCTGTAATGAGTCCAAGAGACTTTTGATGCAACCTTTTTTGTTCGAGCTACAAATCCAGTATACTTCCCTGTCATTGAAGTGGCCCCATCAGTGCAAATGCCGAGGCAATGGGACCAATCTATTTCCTTTTCTTGAAAATATGCATTAGTCAGATTGAAGATATCTTCTCCAGTTGTACGTTCTTCCAGTGGTCGGCAAAACAACAAGTCTTCTTCAACCAGACCTTCATTCACATAACGTACAAACAGTAGCAAAATAGCTAGATTAGCTACATCAGTTGATTCATCCAACTGTATAGCATAATATGGACTATTTTTCACTCTCTGTACAATTGTGGTCTCTACGTTATTTGACATGTCATTAATTCTTCGTGACAACGTATTATTGGACAAAGGTACCATGTCAATCCTTTTTGCAGCCTTTTCTCTGAGCATGCAATGAACTACGTCTTTTATACATGGACCAATCAAGCTCTCTGCTATGGTATGGGCTTCTGATGCTTTAGCTACTCGGTAGCTCACGCTGTATGATGCTTCAAGTGCATTTTCATTATCAGTACTTGCTTTGGATATAAAACTGGTAATGTCACTTTTCCTCTCAGCTAATTTTCGCTTGAAAAAATCAACAGGCTTGTCGAGTTGTGCAGGATGCCTAGTTTCTAAATGGCGCCGAAGTAGAGAAGGTTTGAGGCTGCTGTTTGCTAGAACATCACCACAAATCACACACAGTGGTTTTGGACATTCTTGATCACCAATGCATGTAAAGCCATATTTTATATAATCATCATCATATTTTCTTTTCTTTGTAAGTGACTTTCCAGGACCATCATGATCATTAGACGTAGATTTTCCACAGTGTGGACTTGAGGAAACACTAGCTGATTCTTGCGTCTTTACACTTTCCTTTTTCAGCCACTTATCCATTGAACTTGTGTACAAAAGTTCTAATAAAAACAACACAGAGAGACTGCTAACAACCAACAAACTAGAAAATGAGAAGATTCACTCAAGTCTCACTGAAGCAAAACAGCACTCCAGAGAGAATGACAATTACAGAGGCACCTTAACACTGCTACACTGGCTACAACGTCCTTCCGGCTGGTTTGGCTCCCAAACAGCTTTTCTTCCGCCACGAGGTTTCTCCCTAGGAGGGTGTCCTGTGAGGGACAAATTAGCTTGGACCACCCCCCACGTACAGCATTGCTCCTGCTAACTCTGCCCTCCATGCCAACTTCCCCTGTTTGACAAAGACAGGAGTCCGAGCTGCCACCTGCAGGTCTGGGGGTCTCAGCTGCCAACCTGCCCACCACAGGGCTCAGGCTACTGGCCCCGCACCAGGGCCTGGGCTGCTGGATCCACACTCCCTGGGGCTCCTGCTGCTGGACCCCATTGACCGCCCCGGTCAACTGAGCTCCACTGAGCTTGTGCTGCAGGTCCCACTGACCGCTGGGGCTCGGGCTGCTGGCCCCAACTGCCCG